GTGTGTGTGTTCCGTATACATTTCCACAGTTTAAAAATACAGAGCTGAAATTTAGTAGGGAGGTGAGGGTGGCCTGAAGGAAGGTTGTGTACGCTCTCCTGTCCCCCCACCCGGACAACTCATCTAGTAAGAACATAAGAATGGAGGAAAGTGCAGCTGGCTATTGTCCCATACTGGTCAGTCCCGTTTACACCCAACCCTTATCACTCATATATCCATCCAACCTATATTTGAAGCTACCCAGAGTATTCGAGTTAATGATGATGTTTGGTAACTTGTTCCACTAATCCACTACTCTATTTCCAAACCAGTGTTTACCTATCTCGCGCCTAAATTTGAATTTCTCTAATTTAAAACCATTGCTACGGGTTCTCTTCTGGTTGGATAGTTTGAGTACCTTTGTTATATTACCTTTGTTTAACTCCATCCTCTATCATATCACCCCTCACTCTACGTCTCTAGAGGGAGGTCAGATTCAGAGTTCTTAATCTGTCTCTTTCTCATCCTCCTCTGAATGCTTTCTAGGGAATCAATGTCCATTATATAGTACAGTGACCAAAACTGAACCTCATAATACGAGTGACGTCTCTTATACACCCAAGACACACCGCACCACACCACTTCACACCACACCACTTCACACCACACCACTTCACACCACACCACACCACACCACACCCAGGACACATTCCTACACACCGCTCTTGGCAAGATACACATTGCTTCACGTTTTTACATCGCCCGTTACCTCAACTATCCTTTAATGTCACAACTTGCGGTTTGGCTGTGTTTATACCTTTGGCAGGGTATTGACACCAGCGCTGCGTCACCCCGTTATTCTGCTCTCTCTCTCTCTCTCTCTCTCTCTCTCTCTCTCTCTCTCTCTCTCTCTCTCTCTCTCTAATAAAACATAAGGAAATGGAAAGATAAAAGGGTTAGTTATAGTTTGACAGAAACAGACAAGAAACTTTAGTAGTTCTCTTGACGGTCTACTGTACTGGGCCAGCAGGTCTAGTGGCTCGCCCTGCCACACAAACCCGACTAATTCACGGCAAGGCAACAACGTGGGTTAGAGACTAGGAACTAAAATAAGTTCAATAGAGTACTGTACAGTAATAGTTTATTTGACTTGACATTGAATCAAATAGAGTAGTTATAACCATGTACTCTTGCAGTGAATTCAACGACAGTGCAACATTGCTGACTCTACTCACTAACTGATTTACAGTGTTCATCAGGGCACTCCTGGACTGGGCCACAGAGTGTAATGTTAACCAAACGGATGTCAGAAGGTTGATCAGAGAACCAGTTGATTCCACCACCATGCGAAGGCCGATGTTCATGACTGTTCTTAGCTGTGTTCTTCCCTTACCCTATGACTGTTCTTCCCTCACCCCCATGACTGTTCTTCCCGTACTCTAATGACTGTTCTTAACTGTGTTCTTCCTTTACCCCATGACTGTTCTTCCCTTACACTCATGACTGTTCTTAGCTGTGTTCTTCCCTTACCCTATGACTGTTCTTTTCCTTCACCTCTATGACTGTTCTTCCATCACCCTATGGCTGTTCTTCCCTCACCTCTATGACTGTTCTTCCCTCACCTCTATGACTGTTCTTCCCTCACCTCTATGACTGTTCTTCCATCACCCTATGACTGTTCTTCCCTCACCTCTATGACTGTTCTTCCATCACCCTATGACTGTTCTTCCCTCACCTCTATGACTGTTCTTCCCTCACCCTATGACTGTTCTTTCCTCACCTCTATGACATTTCTTCCATCACCATTACTGTTCTTCCTTCACCATATGACTGTTCTTCCATCACCACCATGAGTGTTCTTAACTGTGTTCTTCGAATCACCCCATGACTGTTCTCCCATCACCCCCCATGACTGTTCTTCCCTCACCCCCTTGACTGTTCTTCCCTCACCCCCAATGACTGTCCCACTTTGTTCAATGTTCTTATGAATGCATTATTAAATTCAATACCAGACAACCCCAGCAATATTACTGTTGGCTATGCTGATGTTATTCTTATACATACTAAAACTCATCGTGAAATGCAAACCACCCTGAACCATGAACACGCAGCCTGTGAGAACCTCGTTCTTATTATCTCCACTGAGAAAACTAAGGTGTTCAACTAACAAGCTGGTAACCGCAAACGTGGCCCAGCCAAGTTCAAGGTTGGTAACAACATTATTGACTATGTTTCTTCTTTTAAATATCCTGGTGTCTCCGTCCCTTGTACCTTACCTGCCAGACAACAGCTAACCCGCCAATGTACTGACAAACTGAGACTTCTTGGAAGTGTAGCGGGGTACAGCCCACATTATAGTGCTAATATTAGAATTGTTAATACAATGTAGGTCTACCTAGGCTATATAAGATCTCTGATAGATTACCACGCACCAGTCCTGGTCCTTCGTGACGGGAAAGGCATTGACAAACTCGAAAAAATGCAAAATAAAGCACTCAAAATTATCCTAGGAGGTCCCATGAGCACCAAAGTACTTAATATGAGGAAAGAACTAGGTATACCCAGTGTTAAAGATAGAATAATTGAAGTCAACCTCATGATAGCTCTTGCGTGGTGATCCTGATAACATTGTTTCCTACAAATTGTTAGAATGTATGAACCATGGGACTGGTGAATCTAAATGGATCCAAACTACAGCTACACATATGAAGATGTTTGGACTAGACCATCTGTAAAAAGTTGAGACCCAACAGCACTTCCTTCCACCCTGGCGGACAGTTCCCTTCGATATCACAATACCGACATATCCGCCTAAAAAAAATAATTATACAAAGTATTTATCTCCAACACACTGCCAAAGTGAGAGCTCTTGAACACACACACACTCTACAGACTGATGACAATATCACACAGACCATCTACACTGATGGATCTCTTAACACTGTCTGTGGGAGGGCTGGAAGTGCTATCATTGTGACTCAACCTGACGGTAATACAATTGAGATAGGGGTTAGAATTAACAACTGGGCATCCACTCTACAAACTGAATTAGTTGCCAGACTCACAGCTATCAAATTCATTGAAACCACTGTCACTGACAGTCTCATCATCACTGACTCTCTATCCTCACTACTTGCACTTGACACCCTCAACTCAGGTTGTCACGCGCTTGTCTCTGAAGCCAGACACAAATATGCGTGCCTTGTTGACCGGGGTGTCAAGATCAAACTGTTGTGGATCCCCTCTCACATAGGCCTCATAAGACATGGCAGTTGATGCCCTCGCCAAGCTCACGTCTAACAAAGGAACTGTTGAATGCAATCTGGGTCTGTCAAAAAGAACCCTTAAAACTGTAATTAGGAAGGAACTTATTAATGAATTTGACGCAAACAGACAAGTGCAAACAGGCACTTGTCGATTCATAGTTTACCATGATGAGATGTATCAAAAGAAACATGTACAGTATATAAGTACATAAGTATCTCTGGCTGTATTTTCCTCAAGCAGATGTAAACACGACTAAATGTAAAGTGTGTAGTCAAATATATGGCCACACACTTGAACACTACTGTGTGTGAAATGGCACAACACTTCATCTCTAATGGCAAGAAGGACGACATATGAAGATTGTATCCACTTTTTGCACTTAGTAGCTATATCAGTTCCCATGTATAGAACCAAACACACAATGTGCTTGAATTCCTCTCACGCAAATGTAAGTAACAAAGTGTGAGGCCAGACATTCTGCCTCACTCTCCTGTACTCACGCAGTTGTGAATAAGTTACACGTTATGTATAGAACTAAACAAAGAATTTATTTGAAATACTCTGTACCATTCAATGCCAGAATATCCTGACCACAGGGGTTAGTTATACTGACCCTTTGTAAACCATACTCTGTAATCCTTTTGTTCTACCACTCACAGGAGGAGTATAGGGTGCACAATAAACTTGCCGCTGTTCTTCCCTCACCACGACTGTTCTTCCCTCACCACGACTGTTCTTCCTTCACCACGACTGTTCTTCCTTCACCACCATGACTGTTCTTCCCTCACCTCCATGACTGTTCTTCCCTCACCCCCATGACTGTTCTCCCTTCACCACCACGACTGTTCTTCCCTCACCCCCATGACTGTTCTTCCCTCACCTCCATGACTGTTCTTCCCTCACCACCATGACTGTTCTCCCTTCACCACCACGACTGTTCTTCCCTCACCCCCATGACTGTTCTTCCCTCACCTCCATGACTGTTCTTCCCTCACCACCACGACTGTTCTTCCCTCACTTCTATGACTGTTCTTCCCTCACCCCATGACTGTTCGTAACTGTGTTCTTCCCTCACCCCATGACTGTTCGTAACTGTGTTCTTCCCTCATCCCCACGACTGTTCGTAACTGTGTTCTTCCCTCACCACCATGACTGTTCTTAACTGTGTTCTTCCCTCACCCACGACTGTTCTTAACTGTGTTCTTCCCTCACCACCATGACTGTTCTTAACTGTGTTCTTCCCTCACTCCACGACTGTTCTTAACTGTGATCGTCCCTCACTCCATGACTGTTCGTAACTGTGTTCTTCCCTCACTCCATAACTGTTCTTAACTGTGTTCTTCCCTCACCACCATGACTGTTCTTAACTGTGTTCTTCCCTCACTCCACGACTGTTCTTAACTGTGTTCTTCCCTCACTCCATGACTGTTCTTAAATGTGTTCTTCCCTCACCATCATGACTGTTCTTAAATGTATTCTTCCCTCACTCCATGACTGTTCTTAACTGTGTTCATCCCTCACCCTCATATGGTAAGCCTAAATACAGTACAGTATATCCAAAAATGTTCAATGATAATAATTAGTGGTGTTTAGGTTCTTAACACCTTGGACAGATACGCCACTTTTAATATCTGAGGATTTTATTCAACGGAGTGTGGACCCCTTACACAAGAGGTTAATTGTAATTTTCTTAAATAATCTTGAAGTAATGTTCGTCTTCAGTAAGTGGATGAGGATAAAACAAAAGAGTTATATATGTACAATGATTTATTATAACTTCTGTACAAACAGGTTTCAATAAACAAGTCCAATTTGTGTGATGATCCACATCCTGTTCAACTCCCAACAGACATGAAAATTTTAAATGGATAATGGGAGAAATAATTGATAAAGAGAAACATATTCACCTAAGAAGAAGAAAAGTACGTGGTTGGGGGAAATGAAGATTGTGAGCGAGGCATTCAGTTCCGAGTCTTGTTTTACAGCGACAATAAGACATACTTTCACAATGTTCAAAAAGATGGTTCACCTTATTGAGGCTTAAATCTACGACCCAGAATCTCTAATGCCGCCACTCTATCGACCGTAAGTCATGTCACATCCAGCTAAAAGCAACCCTCCATATTCACTTCTATAATAATTTAGGTACATCACTGAACAATATCATTTTGATTGTCTGATGTTTTTAGTTTATTTCTTTTTGCTAAATGCGACCATGCGAATCACCGTTCAATGGAGAGCGTTGTGGTTGAATTACTAAGTGGGCAAAACTATCATGTGTTGAGATATGGAATGAATGTCTGACTAGGTGCTATACTAAATGCCTAAGAAGACCTACTTAAGGGTAACAAATACCATAAGTTATGGTGGGGGTGGATGTGGTGGGCCAGTGGGGGCTGAACTGACAGTCACCTCAGGTCCAGCCTTATTGACTTCTACACTTTAAAAGTCAACACTATCCCACCCATAATACTACTAATACCTCATTAACAAGTACGAATTTGAGTTTTAATTCCCTGTACAGAATGTATCCGTTCAGTACTTGCCAACAGTGTGTAACAGAACTGACCAACCTGCTAGGAAGTGGTGAAGAAGATAAGGTTTAATTAAAGGTTTAGTAGTACTATTTGAGAAGTTAGAAGATCATTGTTGCCCAATGGTCCAGTGCTGTTCAAAACTTATTTCAACACCAAAAAAGAAAAAAAAGAAAAAAGACATTTGTTCATACTTTTAAAGTGAATTAGGCAATATTTATTTAATATATAATTTACTGTATGTTTGCCTTCAAACTACAGTACCTATTGTTACCTGATATTGTACTTTACTAGTGCTCTAGAGGGATTTATATTTTGAAGATGGAATACATATTATACCAGTTACATATTTTTAACATTAACAAGTAAACTGACGTGTGTACATTACATACATTGTAGTACTGTACTCGGTTACCTGGTATATTTTTAAGGTTGGTTCAACATTGAAACCAAGCTGAATTCTTTCTGGACAGTATCTTGATAAAATATATTAATAACAAACAATATTATTTTATCAATAAGTACATACTGAATTACCTCCTTTAATTTCAATATACAATACAGTATAAGTAATGGATGACTGTACCGTAGTGTAGAGTAGAACGAGTTTACAAAATCCCTTCATGCTTGTGTTATGCTGTATACTGTAGTTCCTCGAGTTCGTTACACACTCAAGGCCTGGGTTTGTACTGTACTCCTCTATGACCTACACACACTGTTTCTTTCTTTGACATGTTCACTGTATGTATTTGAAAGTGTAAGTAACAGATATCATGATGTAGAATTCTGTACCTCCATGGGCTGAAGTGTTTGTTATGAATGTTACTTCCACAAGGGACTCTTTTAACACTTTAACTCAAATGTTAAGGGACTTGTCCAGCTACCTGTGTGTGTGTGTGTGTGTGTGTGTGTGTGTGTGTGTGTGTGTGTGTGTGTGTGTGTCCATCCATCCAATGTTCATAAAATGAATGGTAGAAAATTAAAGCACAAGCCCTTATCTTTTCTTTAAGTTTGCCAAATATTGTTTGGAATAGATTACGTCGCCCGAATTAATAGGAAATTATAAAAAAAGGTATTACTTAAGAACACTATTTGACTGTTCATCACTGTGCATTTCCCTCACCCCCATGACTATTCTTGAGTGTTCTTTCCTCAACCTGAACCACATAACTGTTCTTGAGTGTTTTCCCTCACACTCATGACTGTTCTTGAGTGTATTCTTCCCTCACCCTGACCCACATGGCTCTTGAGTGTGTTCTTCCCTCACCCTGACCCACATGACTCTTGAGTGTGTTCTTCCCTCACCCTGACCCACATAACTGTTCTTGAGTGTATTCTTCCCTGACCCTCATGACTGGCCTTCAGTGCACACCTCCCTCAGCCCCACGGATGCACCACCCACACACACCCTCACATTGTTGTTGTGAGTACAAAACAACAGTATTACCATTATGTAAATATTAGCTACGTCAGTGAAACATTTCTGAACAAAACTACAAACTTTGAGCCTTTAGTTTACCTGTAGCACAACTTGCTGATAATCTCCATCTCAACAATATCTATAATATTTATATCCTAAACATCACTTCTGTCAACTTGAGAATGACAAAAAATTTAAAATGTGTATTACAGTATCTTAAATGTTTGTTAATATCCGGGATGTAATTTACATTATTGGGTATAAGAACAAATAGCACACCAAGCATCTTTAATACAAAACATGAAAGACATTAGATTTAATACGTATGAATAAACGATTGTTACTTGTGAGTATTTTAAGTTGCACGAAACACATAATACAAAAAGCACACACAAACCAATATGGAAATGTTCTGCTAATTATTACATCCTTATACCAAGTTTGTTTTGTGTATTATGACCGTAATTACTACAAAATAAAGTAATGGAATAATGTAGTAACCTTATTTTGCTACTAATAGTGTATGTGGGCTGTATTCTTGAACCAGTATAATGGGGTTTGTATTGTCATTTATTTTGATTATATGTTCATGTACCGAGTAGTGAGGAAACAATAAAGATTAAGTAATGTGATAGTTGCTCTTCCAACATTATAGTGATGTAACAGAGTACAGTATATTTCAGGGTGAAAAGTTCAACAGTGCAGCCCACACATTTTTCTGATTACACAACTTGAGGGAATTTGAGGTTCTGCTTTTTGTCCGGGACTCGAGATCCAGCGATACTAAGTTTACATTGTGATCTTCAGCTTATGTTATGACAGATAACGAGAAACTATTCATTAAAAGTACCGCAACTGAAATCTCTCATCTCGTAGTTAGTCCGTCGGTGAAGTTTTGAACTTATATATATACTACTACAGTATATATATATATATATATATATATATATATATATATATATATATATATATATATATATATATATATATATATATATATATATATATATATATATATATATATATATATATATATATATATATATATATATATATATATAAAACTATTCTGTACACAGGTTAATTATGATGACCTCTCCAGTATGTTGGACAAGTGACGGCCACACAGTGTAGAGATCATCACCCAACACTGCTTACACCTCATTACAACCAAGATTTGCACAAGAGAGAAAACAAGGAAAAAAATATAAGTGAATTTTGAATAATTAATCAGAATTACTGTAGTGTATGAAAAACAGATAATTTTTGTGAAGAAAGCTGATCATACTACCGTATATAAAGAAAATGTTTAGTGATTGACTATAAAGCAGATTTTATAGTTAATAACATATTGATCTAACTGAGGGCAAATGAAGGTACTGTATTTATAAAAGACAATTGGTCATTGCTGTAGCTTGTTAAAGGTAGGCTAGAATGGGTAGCTGTGCTGTTATTGTTGTATACTGTCACCTTCATCATCTGTGAATCATTTGTACCAGAGATTCAATAAGAATTATTGCATCACCTAAAGATTATCCCCCTCCAGCTTATTTCACCTGATGATTCAACACTAATGCTACCTGGGGGGTACGATCAGGTTAGGTTTATGTTAGCTTTGGCTGAGTTAGGTTAAGGGGGCTAATTTTGAGGTGATAAATTATTTGTGACAGTAATACATCGATCATTTATTAAGACGCAGTTGTTGTGTGGGCCCAACTCTTGCTGTCAACTGTTTGTCTGATAAACTTTTAAGTTCACAGTTACCTAATTTTCAGTGTTTATTGGTAAACAAACATTTAGATATTTTATGAAATAATTCTTTGTGTTAAACTGACATTTTACCAGAAGATAGAATTAATATTCAGAAAGAACAATACAAAATAATAATACAATCAAGAGATTAATATACGATATGGACATATTTCAACCAGAGCAATTATTTTTATAAAGTTGAAGTAAATAATAAAAGAAAATATGACTCAACGGTGTGGTTACAGTGCGTCCTGTGACATAGACTTAAAAAGCAAACATTTTGAAATAGAACTACACTACAATACCTTGGTTTAGCTCTCGGTATGTAGACTCTTAGCTTCTCTCATATTTCGGTCCACAAACTCTAAAATTTCACTCTAGCAACAATTTTTAACAGTGATACTTTGTGAGCAGTATTTTGCCCTTGTCGTCCACTCATTCCCTGCATCACAGAAAGGTGTATACAGCACTTGTGAAAATATACAGTCAAATAAAACAAAAATATCTCTATACAGGTAGTTAACACAGAGAACACACCTTGCTGTTCTCTTGGTGATTTACAGGAGTTATTTATCAAGGAACAGAATAATATATACAGTACAGTAGAAAATATGGGATCACCTGAGGATTAGCTTCCCTTGCTTAGTTCACCTGAGTGTTAAACATCCTAATGCTACCTGTAGGGTTAGATTAGTGTTAGTTTGATTTAGGTTGCATTAGGTTGGTTTGGGCTATGTTAGGTTAAGTTAGGTTATATTAAGTTAGGCTGGGTCAGGTTAAGTTAGGTGGAAATATGTTAAGTTGGGCGAGGTTAAATTAGGTGGGATTATGTTAGGTTAGATTGAGTTAGCTTAGGATTGGGGTGGTTAATCTTTAGGTAAAATAGGCTGGGGGCTAATATTCAAGTGATCCAAAATATAAATATTACAGCCCAAGAGATTTTGAACCTTAAGAAGGTGTTGTGAGAGCTGTCAACTAAACCAGACTGTAATAACTTAACATAAAATAATATAACATTAGTCACTATACCTTCCTTCCAGCATTTCACTATTACTGTACAGTATACAGTAATGGTTTTTATATACTCGTATATTGTTTTTTATATCTTGCCAGTAATATAATTTTCACCAAGAAATTATTTTTATATGAATAAAATTTAAATATATATATCAGGTTGGAAGCTAGAGAGGAATGGTTTAGTTCCAAGACATGAACTGTGTAATGGTAGCAAGCGTGTGTGGTCTTCGTCACGTGGAGACTTACAGTATGGTAGACTTCTTCTCTATAATTATTACAGTACAGTACAGTATATAATTCTCTTGTCCAATATTTTTTTTGTACCCATAGAATATATTCATAATCTTATTTTATGTCAAAATATACAAACTTTAATTTAAAACATATTGTATGTGTCTTATATAAATATATTTAGTAAATTCTAACAGACAAGTACAGTAGTAATAACCCTCAGGCTGGCATGAATATAAATGTTAATTGTATAGTCTGAAATATTGTCACTATATTAAGTATATAAAGATTATTTAGTAACTTATATATAATACTGTAATTATAATAATAATAAAAGGTAAACCTTCAAGGAATGACAATTGAAACATGTGTTCACCCAACAACACCACACAGCTTGTGTTGGTCTCAATCATTGGAAGACGATGGGTCATCAGCATAACATTGTTCACTAGCCGGTCAGAGTAACACAAACATTAGGTGCCTCTTACACTATCTTTACTGCATGAGTTCCCACAAAGTACAGTAGGAATGTATGAATATTTCAACTGTGATTCATGGCATTGTGTATGACACATCACAATACTGACAGGTATTGTGTATATCATGTATGACACATCACAGTACTGACAGGTGTTGTGTATATCATGTATGACACATCACAATACTGACAGGTGTTGTGTATATCATATATGACACATCACAATACTGACAGGTATTGTGTATATCATGTATGACACATCACAGTACTGACAGGTGTTGTGTATATCATATATGACACATCACAATACTGACAGGTGTTGTGTATATCATATATGACACATCACAATACTGACAGGTATTTTGCTGGACACAATAAATGTTCAGTTATTTTTTAGTACAAATTGACTATATTCCTGGAGGTGCCTTGATCATTCTAACCTGCCTTTAACTTACATAAACTAAAGCAAATGAGCAAGACATTGTTTAACATAACTTATTGTGGTATGAGACCTTACTGTGGTGTACCTCCGCCAGTGTCATACGAGAGAGGTGCTCATTGTTCATGGAGTCAGCCCTCATTAATTCAGTATTGGTTGGTGTACATGTCACACTGTACAGTGTGTATTTAACAATTTATCTCTAAACTTAAAGTGTACATTAATGCTCGACCTTTTATTTGTATCTACAGTTTTTGTCTAGCTGGAAATAATGTTTATAGCAGCAGTTATTACTGTTACTTGTCTCCTGAAGTGAATTAATGAGGCTTAACAAGAATGATTCACATAATGAAAGAAGCTCTTCTTTGTATGACAAGGATGTGACATGATTTAAACTGTGTAGATTCCTTTGTCATGATGAGACCATTACACTACATCACCTTATTCTTTCTCTGATAAGGTGTTCCATTATCTTGTGTACTCTTATGGAACAACGACTCCATCATCCTCGCCCCATGTTGAGCAGTGGAGTCCTGCAGTCAACACCTTTTACCTCTGATGAGCCTAATTGTGTGACTAATGAGGGTGAGTGATGGGCAGTAGGACAGAAGATCTTTGATACAGACTAGACTGGTTGTCATTTAAAGTAGTGATCTCCAATGGGCATTGCTAGTTCAAGCACAGACATGAGTCACATTTAACACATGAGTAGGGGGTCCTTTATGTCTCTTGGTTAGTTTAAGCTGTTACCCTCAATCTTCATTCACTCCTTTACCTTCTTAGAAGGCAATTTTTCATAGAAGTTAACATTTCTTTCACTTTTTTTCAAATCAGCCTTCACTTTACCTTCTCAGAAGGCAATGGCCGATATTACATGACTTTTCACTTGATGAATAATATTTTACACACTTGAGCATCACTTGGAGTGTGAGGTGCTGGAGAGTTGTTGCTCACTCATGGTGAGATAAGTTTGCAGTACAACCTGTAGTTCCTCTTTTGATTATAATGAGGACAGAGGGTTAGTCTTAAGAGAGATCCTCCGTAGCTGAACCTCACTAGTTGGGCTACATCTACTACGTATTAATAATGTACAGTGTTATTATGAACCTCTTGTCTGTCATAGCAACTTCTGTCCTTTGCTCTATAAAGAAATATTCTTTTTGTCATTCATCAATTCTCTAGTTTTAGAAGATCTGATCAATTGATGTATTTTTTGTAGGTATTTAGATGTTGAAGTTCCTGAAAATGTGTATTGTTCAAAAGCATTATCTGTTTGGAGTATGGAGAGCAAGAATATTAAAATAAGGTGATCATGCTTTCACACACCTGCAACATTGTGAGCGGCGACACTCACACTGTTGAAAGTTACGACTTGCTCCTTCAAAGAAATTGAAGGTAATTAAGAATATGCGAGTAGTGTCAACCTTCTATCTCTGAAACACACCTGCTTTATGCACAAGCTTTTCAGGAGGATGGAAGTGTCATATACTGAGTGAAAAGTTTAAGGTCATAAAGATCCTGCTGTGAAGAACAGCCAACCGGCCACTACAGCTGGTGGGTCGTCTGCCGGCTGTTATGTTGACCACAATGGCCGGTAGACAAGCCTCAACCCTCATGCTGGCATTGAACTTTTTGCAGTGCAGCAAAGGGTAAGCGTTGACACCCTGTCTAGAAAACTATTTACAAGGTACTGGGTGAGCATCCTTGGCCACCTACATTGTGAAAAAGATTTAAATGGGCAGTGTGTGAGATACACAACTGTACGTATAAACACTTAATTCCAGTGATGATTCTGGGAGAACGTTGACAAGGTACTGACAGTGAAGGAACTGGTTAACCTCTCAGTCTTCGTAAGCGGAGATTTACTCGCAAAATTCAAACTCGTAGAGACTGATAGATTAAGTCTAGTCATCACTGGCTCGTCAACTACATTTACATTACACACATAAACGGAAACATTGGGGTCGTATCCCAACTGACATCTCAAGGTATTACACAGTTGAGATTCTTCACTCGGTTTGAGCAACAGAACTGACATCTTGATGGTGAAGAAGTGGAGTATCACTCGTGCGCTGGACGGCTAAGTCTGCATTAGCAAACTAAAATCCTATTTTTTTCAATCTCACCAGAGGTGTATTTGAGACACACAGTGAGAACATTCGTAACCTGGGCCCTATTAAACCTTTTCCATAGATGACTTTTACTCTAAAAATTAATACTGTACAATGTAAAATTATATGATTGTTGACAGTGGCATATCCCTTGTGAGGCGAGAGTCAGGGCACTAGGAGACTTGATAAGAGCTGGTTGATGAACACTTCTCGGGGTAGAGAGCAGAGAGTCTTGGCCCAGGGCACCACTCCATAGGGGGCCTTATTTCACTAGCATAGCTGTCTATAATTCACTAGAATGGCAGTCCATTTCTCACTAACACAGAGGAGCAGCTTTCACTATCATGGCAACCCATCTGTCACTACTATTGCAGCAAGTAACTTGTTCCACACAGGATCTAACATGGATGAACTTGTGGCAAAAGCTGGTTAATGTACCAGTAGAGAACCTGCCCAGCCTGCACTTAGCTGCCTAAAGTATAAATGTCTGCAGCCACAAGTTGGCTCCACAAAGGTAAATGTAGCAATTACAGAGTCGTAAGCCTACCATAAATTGCTACTTTTACTTGGAGGAAGATGCACTGGCAATCCAGAACTATAAGCTCTACATCAACAGTGAATGAGTGAGCTTGTTCTGGACAAATCTGGCCCTCCCAGTTTCCTAGTGGGGCCAGTGTCAGTGCTTGTACTCAGGATACCTCCTTTGGGGCAGGAGGGCGTGGTCTGGGTCGGCAGCCTCTTGTGGTTCTTCGTTCTGCTGCTCTGTGGGCGGGAAGTCCTGGTCGTCGTGGTAGGAAGCAGCATCGGAGGGCGGCGAATAGAGGCGGGGGTCCCGGGGCGAAGCTGCCTCAAACCTCGCAGCCTCATAGCGTGTCACAGGCAGTGCTTCTTCGCTGGCAGAGCGCAGGAGGGCACTGGGTGGTCTCGCCGAGTACTCATCACTGCAAGAGACACGCACACGTCACCTCAGGCCGCAGGCAGGTAGGTGGGTCACAGGTGAGCCCGTGGCGAAGGGCACCAGTGATGGGGATGGTGGTGGTAGTTGTGATGGTAGTGGTGGTGGTGGTGGTAGTATTGGTAGCGGGAGAAAGGACAGGGGTCGGCCCCAGGTGTCATGTGTGTGTCCAGCACAGGGCGAGGTGCCCTCCTGAAAGGCTCTCATTGGCACTGTTAAGACTGCTTACAGCCACTCTACCACTGACACTGGCTGCCCTCCCGCCTTAGTTCATTTGCTCATGGGCCAAAAGTATTGCCCAGCATGCGCGCGGACGCCTTTGGGGAGGACCACAAATTCATCACTGCAAACAACAAAACAAGGACAAAACAGTTAAGAGAACGAGCAGACAGAGTAACACAAGTCAGCTTATGACTTGACCCCCATTCTTGGTGCACATTTGAGTACTTGTTGCACAGGCAAGTAAGTTAGGTAATAAACTGACTTGTCAAGTGACGGTCAGGCAGCTAAGTCATCCAGGAATGTTTTCACCAACTTTGACTCCAATCACAGTTTTCTAAACATTGTATTGTATAGACATAAAGATGTCAACTGACTTCATATTTAAGTCAAGATTTTAATATTAATGTCCACGTTAATGAACAAGCCGGCGGGGCACATCCTGGACACTTATGTGATGGTGTCAGTAAGTCTCAGTGCACAAAGAACAAAGATAAATATTACTTTTTCCACAAAAATAGAATAAGCTCAGCTTATGTGCAAAAAAATAAAAAAGCACAGTTTATAGAAATGTATAGTGACATGCAGAGAGAAGGTGAACATAAGCATAAGCAGGGTTGGTTGTGTGTGATGTGGTGGTGGTGGTGGTGGTACCTTTGACAGTAGTGAAGATTCCAGCTAGGTTTATGATGGCCATTTCATGCTTTTCCTGCACATTTGATGTGTTGAGGTGTACTGTACACCACACCTTTCATTCATATACAGTAAATTTCTAAATTTTACTAGAAAGCTAAAGCTCTATAGCAAACAATAGGGAAGAGATCATGACACCAAATTAATACTCCAAGTTACACTGAGGAACACGTTTGAGAGGGTTATATGTGAGGAGTTAGGGCAACCAAAGAGGGTTTTTCTTATTTTACAAGTGATTGTTTCTAAAGGGTGTAGTATTACTTAACACTTGATGATGAATGTGTCTAAAGGGTGATGAATGAATGAATAATGTACATGAGTCAATAATTATGTTTTGTACACTTAAACATACTGTACTTGTTCTTTCCACAGGAAATTAAAATATAAGCAGTGATGTATATTATATTATGACTGGTGTAGTAGTTCAAAATATAAAATAAACTGTAAATATATCCTATTGAATAAATTTCATAAGTCTATAAAGGTATAATATAAGTGATAAAAGTTCAAATAAATTCTAGACTGAGGTTTTGTGTAATCAGAACATAAATTTTGTTCACAATAATGACACTTAACATAAAACTCATTAAGGACAAGTTACCAATCTTTTATCAAGTGACTGAAAAATATCAATATGACATTTAACTTTTTGATATTTATCACATTTATAGTTAACCTATTCTTAAGGATTCAAACTGTCTCTGAAAAAAATTATGTACACCTGTGTGTATATCCTCTAGTTACTGCTAATGTTGTGTTAACATTCATGAGACACTGACAAACTAACTACTGTATCATAATAAAGTGTGATTTAAAAAGAAACTACTGTTCTAACTAAGGTGTTTATATACGAGGCTTAACTCCTTTAGTACAATGATTAACTCCTTGAGAACAATAACATAACTCCAGGTACTAAAGGGGTTAAGACAACTTACTCACAGTGCTAATTCATTGTACTTAAGGGATTAATGTTACTTTACTCAAGGAGTTAACATAATACTTTATTCTATGATTGTTATAATTATCATCAAGGAACTTATCCAGGATTTTAGAAATACCTGTCTAACATCTGTCTTGTTCAACATGTGTGAGAGGTGAAGCTGTTGAGGGGTTGGGAGGGTTCATTTAGACAACTCCCTCCCACCCCCACCAGACTGACTCTGAAGTGAAGCCTTTGACTGTTTTAAACTGTAAATGGTATCGTTTAAGGGTATTTAGTAGCAAGATTATTGATCACTTTTGTGTGATTCTGACCAACAAGAGCCATGTTGTTTTTTGTGCAGGGTGTAAGGTGTTCAAAAGCTACACACTGACATAACTTCCAGTGTAGGTAAAGGAACACTCACTAGAGTTTGATACTGTATACACATTTTTCTGGCAACTGGCTGGGCACATGTTGGCAGCCATTTGGTGGATGACCAGCACTCTAGCTATACTCTCAGTAACATTATAAGATACAAACTAAAATTATATTATGATTAAATAAGGAAGGAATTTCTGAGCAGCTAGAAAATAACATCCTGGTAGATTAGTCCGCTGCCTAATTTTAAACCCTGGTGATTTAGTTGTAACTGTACACTACTGTTCCCTAAACATGATGTTCCTGTTTGCTCCCAAATTTTAATTCTACAGGCCAAGGTGTCACTGATGAATGAAGTGTGAGTTGGCACCAAGTGTAAGAGCCAGCCAGCTACCAGCAAGCTACACTGCCCTTGTTCATCAGCGTAAATACTGACGACAAATGCTCATCCCTCAAACCCAGTTCAAGCCAGTACCTTAAACTCAAAGCTCAATGGTTGCTTTAAAAGGTTACGAAGCTTCAGGTTTACTGTACTCCACCCGAATGGTCACCCTAATGGTCACATCTTCCTGCCTTTATCATATAGTTCACACACCTTAGGCAACTTCCAGCTGCTCTTGTAGTGAATCACCCAAGGAGGGATAAGTGTTGTTTTCATCCCTTGTCCTTTTATATACAGTACGTACATGATAGTTTTAGTCTTTCATCACACATTCCTCCATCCACATAGTGAGTTTTACATGATATATGAAGGGTGACATGTACCATCTTAACTGTACCGTATTCACTGTTGCCTAACATCGTATAATTAATTTATACAGTCTCAGGTCTCCTCAAGGTGTGTGGAAACCTTATGAGTTTAGTTTGGTTGTTGTTTAAAATTTACCACAAGCTTCTCGTGTTCATGTTGATGACTTTACTGAGTTTAGTACAGTTAATTATCTTTTCTTCACAACATATGTTTAAAAAGATACTCACTACTCGATTTACCCTTCAGTAAACAATCTGGACCTTTTATCTTATTTAACTGGATGAACTGGCTAAAATTGGGCCCAACCAGAGGAGCTACTGTGAGGATATGCAGAAGACCATGGGAGTTGTGTTGAAGGGAAGCTCCCACAGTAATGAGGGACAAGTCCAGGTTGATCTCTCATCACAAACTTTGTTGATTAACGTCTACTTTTGAGTACCCGGTATTGTGAAGATGTTCATTGGTTCTCCCCAACAAAGTGGCAGCCTCATTCACAGCAATACAATGGCTAGAAAAACCTCAAGTTTCTCACAGGGTTAAAAAAGCAAGAGATAAGATGACCAGAATCATCAGTAATCCTTTACATTCAGCTTTAAAGGTTGTGCGGACGATGGCTCCTCCACACCAGGGCGATGACTCACACTTGGGAGGGAACTTCTCACACAGTCACAGAGTCAACAACTTTTAGACGTTTTCCTATCAACCAGAAGACACTGCTCGTTCCTCTCATTTTTATCATGTTTAGATGGTAAAATAATGGGAGTTTGTTCATCCTCTTTTCTGAGGGAGTGTTTCTCTTCCTGGCTGGGGTGCTGTTGCCTGCATCACATCACACCTGACCTTCATAGGCTATTAATGAAGGGCTGAAGTCCCATTTAGTAACTGAGGTGCAGAGATGAGTGATCTGATTTCCTCCCTACTTTTCTTTGGTGGGATTTATAATCAGCAGGAAAATATGAGCATTTGAAGCATGGAGCCCCTTCTCCTGGGTACTGTATCAGGGTTCAAGATGACAGTGAATCAACCATTAGGGTTCATTCCAGTAAAGCTGAAGTCTCACTAGCTTTTAAAGCAACTGTTATGCTAGCAGTTGAAACTATTAATAAGACCCTGGTTCAAGGGGTGAGGACTTGCTATTTAGTAATTATACTGATGTATAGAGCAGCATGGTCTGGACACAGCTGGCTCTACCAGTGTGTTCTAAGTGGTGATATACTGTGTATACTATACAGTACTGAAGTTGAACATGTCACTTTCTAAAACTTGCCAATGCCCTTCACATGTAAACCATCAGTCACCATGTTGTGTGTTGTGTGGTGAAGAGCTTCAGTGGTTGTTTTGAAAGCTTATTATTCTAGGGTATTTATTTCTAGCTATCAAGAATAATGATCACATGAAAAGCAGCCCCGCGAGCTTATTTCTCCCCAAGAAGCATTAAGGTGTGGAATCATCAAATATGCTGTGGGGGGTTAATCTTCAGGTGATACAAAAATAATTCTACCCCATTCTGTAGTTTACAATGATGTAGTGTATTGTACTGAGTGGCTCAACCTGGAAAACTTTTTTATTATTATTTATTTAACAATTTTGGGGGGATTTTTGTTTCTGTTAATTATATTCTTTGAAAATATCTCACTAGAAAATCAACCAACGGTAATCACTTGAATGTTGGTAGTTATGCCTTGGGGATACAGTGTGGTGTATGGTGGTAGTGTTGGTAGTTATGCCTTGGGAATACAGTGTGGGGTATGGTGGTAATGTTGGTACTGTAGTTATATACCTTGGGAACACAGTGTGGTGGTGGTGGCAGTGCTGGTAATGTACAGGGCATCTCATAAATCATGCACCAAAGGAAAATTCATCTTCATCATTCTTTTTTCTGAGTACTTGTACAGTGGTATCCGCGTTAGCCGGAACAATTGGTGCAGAGCACTTCCGGGATTGAGAGATTTCCGGGTAACAAGACTTTCTCAAAGCCGGAAAAAAATCCCTCGGCCCCGGAATTTTCCGGGTAATGGAAAAGTGTTCTTGGAAGTTCCAGAAATTGCCCATTACTTCAACTCTCAAACCTGGAAAAAAATCCCTCATCCCCGGAATTTTTCAGAATTATCCTGGTATCGGGAAAAATTTCTCGGAATTTTCCGGAAAATCGTTCCCAAAACTGGAATTTTCCAGAAAATTCCGGTTTTGGGAATGATTTTCCGAGAAAATTTCAATTCGGCTATCGGAGAGTTCCGGGTTTGAAGGATTCCGGCTAACGGAAATATTACTGTAAACAGTTTGGGCGACAAGGACTAAACAAGTGGTCTCTGAGGCCTCTGTACTTCACACCTCTCAAATCCTTCCTCTGGGGTCGCCTAAAATCAGTCCTCTAACAAGATTGCCCAAGAAACATTGAAGAAGTAAAGCAGAAAATCACATCTGAATGCACAAGATTACAAAACACAAGCTAATGAGAGTTAAGGCATCATGTTCACAAAGAATCAACGAGTGTTTTAAAGTACAGTACATGGTAAGACATTTACGTAATACTTTATTGGTACACAACTTAGATTGTATTTAGGTTTTGTATTAGGGATGGTGTTTTATATTGAGTCTGTATCCTAATGATGTCTCCGTATGTATCGTTTCATACCTGTAGTGTGTATACCATGAACTCTTATAACTTGCTGTACATTAACAGAGACCAAATGTGAAAAGGACCTGGGTGTGTATGTTGACAACGAACTGAAGTTATCGGACCATTGTGAGAAGAAGTTGAATCACGCAACTAAGCTGAAGGGCCTTATAAGGAGGGAGTTCACAAACCTATAAGGTAAATCCCTTATAACATTCTTCAAGAGTGAGGTTCTTCCCCGTCTGGTCCCCAAGATATGCTAGAGACTGTCAGTTGATTGAAAACATCCAAAGAAGGGCCATCAGACTGATGCCTTCACTACAGCACCTCAGTTACCCAGAGAGATTAGAACACCTGCAATTGCCTAGCTTACACTATAGGCAGGCAAGGGGTGACTTAATAGAAGTTTAAAAACATCTCAAAGGACATTACTCAGTTGAGTGTTCATACCTGGAGCTGGCAGATGCCTGCCCCACTAGAGCACTAGAGATCACAGCTTAAGGCTGAAGAAGCCAAAAGTTCAGAAAACTGTGAGGGCACCAAGTGTGAGCTCTTTCAAGACCAGACTTGACCAACACTGGTGCAAGTTCAGATACATTCTGGAACAAGTACATGCCCAGTACTTGCCAACAATGTGTGACAGAGAGAAGACCAACCACCCAAGTAGCTAACGAGCCAATCAGTGAAGAGGATGAAGGTAGAGTAAAAAGTGTGTGTGGATGTGGGTGGCATGTGTGTGTGCATATGTGTGTATGTGTGTGTGGGTGGCATGTGTGTGGCATATGTGTGTGTGTATGTGTGTGTGTGTGTGTGTAGAAAAAAGATTTTCCAGTACTGTACTTAAGTCTATTTTTTTTCACCATAATATCACATCTGGACTTACTAAACACCACATCAGTAGCACATGCAGAACACACCCAACAGCACATGAACACTACAAGGATAACACGTGAGGGGCAGTAACTTTGTACAGTACAATACGTGTTTATAGATTAATGATGATGGGAGGGAAAGGGAAGAGCAGGAGAGGAAAGTTACTACAGTGAAACTTCTATTGATTGGATTATATTGAGAGGAAAGGCCCGCTATATCAAGGGTTCGTTAGATGTGAAACCTCCATCTAATGAACTACAGTATATAGAGATAATAGTTTGTTATATTGAGGGTCCATTAGATGTTTACCCCCCACCTAACAGATTATATGGAGGTTTCACTTTATACATGGCCAGTAAACTTTGAGCATTGTGAACCACTGCACCGTGTCATACCCTCAGCAAGTGGTGTACTGGGAGGGGTACACTCACTATGGGAGATACTGTACGTATCTCAGTAGGTGGTAGGAGATATCTCACTTGATTTCCATTATATCTCAAGTGGTATACAAAATAGCTCACTTGGTTTACATTACAATTATCTCAAATGGTTTGCAAAATATCTCAATCTGTCAAAATGGTGTTTAAAATTGTAAGACATTTTATCACACAACAAAAATATGAATACAATAAAATTAATCATGTGTTTCAGAAAAAAATGCATTAATATAAATGAGGAATAATATTGACAGTGGAAAATCTATATAAATATGGAAGTGTTAGATGCTGAGGAGAACAATGTAAGGTTAGGTTAGGTTTTAGGTTAGGTTATATAAGGAGTGGTGAGATAAAGGGAGTAGAGTTTTGAGGAGATGTAGGAGTAACTTGTGAACATTAACTAGAGAGAGTTTGGTGATCAACAGCTTCATCACTAATTATTCTGACAAATTTTGGAAAGTGAAATACTGTATACTTGAGGAGAGTGTGGCATACCTGTTGTACTGTATGGTATCCAAGGCATATCTAATACAAACTTCAAAGAATGCTGGAGTCCCCTGAATATTAGTCACCCCATCTTATTTTACCTGATGATTAATTGCCCTAATGCTATCTTAGGGGTTATGGTTTGGTTAATGTTAGTTTTGGTTAATGCTAGGTTAAGTTAGCATTAGGATGGTTAACCAACTGGTGAAATTAGCTAGGGTGCCTAATATTCTGGTGATCTGAATGTTGTTAAATTTGTTTTAATACTTGCAACATCCTCATATGTCAAATAGGTAATATATTCTTGAATTTAACATTTTATTTTCATTATCCAACTAATCAGTACATGTGAACTACTCCGTCAAAATTGAAAAAATATATTATTTTTCCTATAACAGATTGATCGGGTGACTCACCTCTCAGAGTCTGCCGTCTCACCAGCATCAGGTCTCTCAAGGTCATCCTCCTCTGTGAAGGCATGACTGTCGGCCCCGTCTGAGAATTCGTGTCCGCCACTACCTAGTCTGTCTGAGCCACGCCCGCTCGCTGACCCCGTCCCGCTCCCGCTGCTTGGAGGTTGTCTGTACCGACCGTATACGAAACCCATTCCACCATTGTCTGCTCTGCCTCTGCAAGATTAATTGTAATAGTAAGTTTCTGAAAGACTTGGTATAGGGAATGTATGTGTTAATGGGTGATCAAATACTTCTAGATTTATTTATTATGATATGATACTTTATTCTTATAAGAAAAGTGAAAGATGTTTTCCAACCAAAACTGTAAAACAACTTTAAAAATAACAAACACTGTCAAATGTTTCCTCAACAGTTGAAAGGTAAAGTTTGTGTCATTACACGTTAATAGGAGATAAGCAAGAGAAACATTGTTGGTCATTGGTGAAGGTCAAACGGGAATCCACTAAGGGATATTATGTAAATCAACAAACATGATAAACATTACATACAACTACCTGGGAGAGACAGGAGTCGTGAAACAACAAGACATTAAAACCTTGGCTAGCTGTTGGCACTGTCAAGAACATGCATGTCAAAGCCGTGAGTAGAAGAGAAGAAGCACAAATAATCCAAGGAAAGGCACCATTACTGACCTTTCTATGACGTTGTTCACATCACAGTACTGACTTTGGGGGCAAAATTTGAAACACCATTCAAGTTTAAACAACAGAAATACTTCATATACTGTACAAACATATTATTATCCTCTTGTTATGAAATGCTGTTAAAAGTAAACACAGCTATTGTTAATATATTCCTCGACTGACTGTTTATGGCAGCTTAACTCTTCCTCTCTACCGGAGTTTATGTTCACGTGACAAGTTATTGTGACACTTCCTACAGATACAGTTACTACAAGTTAGTTATTTGTATATGTCTTCTGTATATGTGTTTTGTTAAATGGGGTTTCAAAATTTGCTGTGAGCTGTATAATCCAGTAAGCATATAAGAATTGCCAGAGAACTGATATGATCAACAGCCTTGGCTTCTTGTTTCATCTACAAAAATCACTAAAATTTGCTTTCCAGCTGCTGGTATTAATAGATATACAGTACATATTTCTTTACTACTTTCTTTTAAGAGTTATATCCTTGTGAGGAATAATATCCAGTATGTTCTGTTAGTCTCGTGTGACTGACAATAAAGTGTATGTCTGGTAAATACCAAACAATAACTAGGAAACTGAACTTTGTGCTCTAAGAGTAGCATTAATCAAGGGTCTGTTGTTATTGGTTAAGTACAAAGTCCACCTATTTAGTTCCAACACGTCTATACTGTACTACATTGCATTACTGTGCAGTCAAACAGTGGGTGCATTCCAACATTACTCAACACAAGCACCAAATTTGACAAAAAAAAATAAAAATAAATTTTGAAAATCTGGGTTGTTTCAAGAACACTTCTGAGTTAAAAGTATTAAAAAAATATATAAGGAAGAATAAAGTTGTTGGAGTGAAAAAACTTGTGATGTATTACTAATAATAATTACTGTATCTCTGCTACTGTAATATAGTGTTATTTGATGTAACATTTTATAAAATTAAATTTATGAAAAATTTGAACACTATGTAAGTTTCAGCTTAGAGTAAGAAACTTTGAGTACTGTACACCAGATAAGTGAAACATTAAACTTCCCACCTTTGGTCCTTCTTCGTTTTTTTTTATTTTTATGAAGAACTTTGAGAGGAAAATATATATTATAACAGACGGCTGTTGCTGGTATATGTGGCAAAGTATATGCAAAATCAATAACACTTTACCTGCTTTTGTACAAATTACTGACTTAACCTGTACAGTTCAAAGCTTCTGGCTATGTTTATGAGTTTTTATAAAAGGTGCTAATTGCTGTTTAAAGTATACAGGTATAGTATATACTGTATCTAGTGTACAGTAATGTTATTGTGATTTACACTATTTCAGATTTTTGAGTCCTGCAGCTGTGTGTCAGCTATCTATAGACATGAGCTGATGTGTTCAGTGATGCACAAGTACTGTACAGTACATCTTAGTGGTTCCACTCACCCAGCCTCTATCTCCAGCCACTCAGACTACTGCACCACACTCCCCTGTAACTTCACTGTGACATACAGGTACAGTATCGAAATTGGTTTAAGTTGGTGTTAAAAGGTTCTCTCTGGTTTTATACAGCGTCTTAGAAAAATATATACACGCTTACACACTGCCTTAGAGAAGTTCATGGAGATCACATAAAAACTTGTATTACAACAAAATCAATGTTATCCCTTGTTGATGGGTGAGGTCTGTCACAAGTGAGGACAATGTTGTTTGTTGCAATACAGTACAGTACAAGACTTCACACAAACTCCACGAAACTTTTTAAGGCAATGTGTACATATTTTTGAGACACCCTGTACTGTATATGGTAATGAGATAGTCAGTCACTGATTTTAATACTGTAATAAAGAACTGGAGGCTGAAGTTGGTAACTAAAGGTTTAAGACCTCTGTTGTTGTAAGGACCAATGAGCGCCTTTTTGCATATGCTGTACTGTAAAGTATATACAGAATACTCTACTGGTAAATGACATTAAAACTGTGACTTACTGTTGGCACAAACTTGTAAATGATTTAAACACACAACTTGGGTTAATTAATTTCTTTCTCAGTGAAGCATTACCCTTATACTGTACAGCTGTACATCAGAAGAAACTAATGTGAAATTATATTGATTAATTAGCACCTTTTATCTCATGGCCTCTAGTACAGTATATAATACCCAGCAGCTTCATGTAATATTTAATCAAGAACTTTATATTCACAACACTCTAAACGAAGTGGTTTATAATCGAAGCCCAGTTTATTCACAATCTAAACTGAATAATTCACAATCCAAACTGAGTGATTCACACTTTAACTGAGTGATTCATGAAGACAACCGTTTACATCCTAACTACAGATTGGCTGGCTGGCAGGTTGCTGCGCCCACCTCACTGGACCACTGTACGAGAATTTGCCGTTCCTGTTGATTTAATCAAAAGTTTGACCTCAACCATTAAACAATTGGCATATAAAAATGAACTTTAAAAAAAAAATTCTTGTTAGTTTTGTGTTAATTTGAAAGTGACTCCATGCAACATGGAAAACTAGTTCATATAGTTCTATTGTTTCTTTCTTAAGTAAATGGCTGTGACAGAACTATGGGTTGTGTTCAGCAGCACACTTGTTCCAACCAGCAGGAGGGCGGCAGCAGTAAGGAAGGTGGCGTCACATGGGATTGGGAAGCGCTATGCTAGCACCACTATGGACTACGGGCAACACGCCTGTGGGTGCCTGGGGACCTTGTGGGACTCTCTGGGGACAGCATGGCCGCGGCACGTAGGATCCTCTCGTGGTCTTCTGGGGAAGCCAACTGCAACAGTTCTGCCAATTTGTCTCCAGGGGTCCCAGGGGAGCCTGACGGCCCCGCCAGAGGACCACCGAAGTCCCCGTGCCCAAACTCCTGCCCTCTGCGCCACGGCCTCACATACCTGCATGGTGGCACTTGTACACCAGGGGACCTCGGACATGGCCACGCGGGCACCACAACACCCAAAACACAGCACACAGTGCAAGGTAGCAGAGAAGGGTGACTCCAAAGAAACTCCAACATTTGTGAAGTGCATCTAAGTGTAAGGCACAATATTTTGTCTCACTATACTCTACTATGAAAACTATGAACAATGTTATAAGGTGTGTTCATAGCAAAATATTAAACTTCTAAAAACTTTCAATTATGTTGCAATTTAGACCTTACAAGCTAAAATTACTGAAACTAGAGCTCTACACGATAATGTACTGCGCAACGTGCCAGTTCCGCTGCTGCAACTAAGAAAAAAGAAGCTACTTTTTCAAAAATGCTAAAAGACGTAACAGTGACAAAATAAATGAAAAAGATGTCAGTAACTAGTGGGGGTCAAGGCTATGCATAGGACATACCTTGTTAATACTACGAAACACCTAAGTTCTGAATCTGTAGCTAAAGAAAAGCAGAAAGCAATTGTTAGTCATAAGATCAATGGTCATATCATCATGGCCATAGTCATTACATACAACTTTGTGTCATGTATGAAACATTTTGGATTCCCGTTTGTGTGTTGAATTCTCAAGAAAAACTGACAATCAAAAGTTCTTTTTCTTTACTGTCAAAGGCATTATTTGTATTCTTATATTTATACTATTATGGAATCCTCTTCACTTGACTAGAGGATTAGTTTATGTTTCTCATCATGCAGATATTTAGTGCTCATAATAAGGGCTACTTTCAGTGACAAAATTGGCAGGCTAATGGCTGTATTTAAACTAAATAATAATTGCCCAATTAAGCTTATAAAACAAATGTGTGTTCAGGAGGTGGCTATGCTTTGGAGTCATCCCTTCTCTTCTGAACCTCATGATATCCTAAAATTTTTTGTTAATACATACATAGAAATCTCCATCTAATGGGCCATGTGGAGAGGGAAGCCCATTAGATAGAGGTTCCATTAGATGTGAAACCCCCATCTAACGGACTGTATCTGTCAGATTGAGGTCCGTTACATGGAGGTTTCACCGTATACTGAATCTAAAGACAGCAGAGGCAACATAAGAAAAAATCTCGGTTGAATTTAACAAGACACCCCCAAAACATGTTCATAATATCTGGGGGGTTTTCTGAAAGGATTTGAGATGTTTAAGTTTGTCCTGTTATCCAATACAGTGAATAGAAGTACAGTACACACTTATGTTCCACTGATGGAGTAATCAGCGAAGAACTACAGTACTTTGTGTAAGTATTTGGAATATGTAAAATATTTCATGTAAAAAGTATTAAGTATAAAGAGGAAGGCAAGAATGTTTTGTCTTTATTTATATAATTTTTGTCTTAGTGTGTAAAATGCCTTACAGGTCTTACAGTTATTGCCTGAAAGCAACAAGTGTGGACAATGTTGCTGTTGTAATAGAAACATTCATGCAAGCACCACAAAATCTGTTAGGCAGTATGTATATATTTTACTGAGACACCCTGTACTTTCATTGCAGCGAGAGAGAAGGAAATTAACATGATTTAACTTATAAGATTTTCTACCACACATACAGTACTAACTACATGTACAGTATTTTGTATCATGGTTAAATTTCTAGGTATAAAAATTCCCTAAATTGCAGTTTTTGAAGGAGAGGGACTTTTGTTAAATTGAAGTGTTGCCATTCATGACATACAAGAGTAAGTGGTGGAACCCAACTACTTTTTATATAAATTATTATTCATTTAACTCTTTCCAGCTTTTCCCCACTTAATGCAGAGTAGCAAGAAGTGAGACCAAGTACTGTGCATTCATTCAGTTTCCCTTCATTCATTCATTGTTATTCATTCTTTGTGTGCAGTAAAAGATGTGTTTTACTATGATACTGTTCCTCTTCCACAACAAGGTCATTCATGTGGTTACCTGTCATGTCACACAAGCCACTACCTCCTGTCATCACTGTCATGTCACACAAGCCACTACCCCCTGTCATCGCTGTCATGTCACACAAGCCACCACCTCCTGTCATCACTGTCATGTCACACAAGTCATCATCTCCTGTCATGTCATGTCACACAAGCCATCACCTCCTGTCATTACTGTCATGTCACACAAGCCATCACCTCCTGTCATCACTGTCATGTCACACAAGTCATCATCTCCTGTCATGTCATGTCACACAAGCCATCACCTCCAGTCATTACTGTCATGTCACACAAGCCATCACCTCCAGTCATTACTGTCATGTCACACAAGCCATCACCTCCTGTCATCACTGTCATGTCACACAAGTCATCATCTCCTGTCATGTCATGTCACACAAGCCATCACCTCCTGTCATTACTGTCATGTCACACAAGCCATCACCTCCTGTCATTACTGTCATGTCACTGTCATGTCACACAAGCCATCACCTCATTACTGTCATGTCACACAAGCCATCACCTCCTGTCATTACTGTCATGTCACACAAGCCATCACCTCCAGTCATTACTGTCATGTCACACAAGCCATCACCTCCTGTCATTACTGTCATGTCACACAAGCCATCACCTCCTGTCATTACTGTCATGTCACACAAGCCATCACCTCCTGTCATTACTGTCATGTCACACAAGCCATCACCTCCTGTCATTACTGTCATGTCACACAAGCCATCACCTCCTGTCACTCCCCAAAATGAATATTATTTAGTTGTACCCAATGGAAGTAAAAAGTGGTACCAAGTCAATTTTGTCTTTCAGTTGTATTTACATGGTTTGTCGATGAGAAGAAAGATACTGTAGTCATGGGAAAGAAGTGGTAGTGCAGTACTGCATGTTGACAAAGTGCAAGAGGAACTAAAGTGAATAGAGTATGATAGGTTAAATGCTATGATGGTGTAACAAACTAATTTACTGATTGTTATAAAAGCAGGAAGCATTGTGAGAGAGAGAGATGACTCAGAGTTGTGTGAGAAGTGTATTGTGTATTTATATAAACATAAAAACTGTTGTAATTATCACCACTGTGTGTATGTTTGTTTACTGTTCATGTAATAACACAAAACATTACTATACAACCAAATTATTTACTGAAAATAAAATTAAAGTAAATAATACAAAATAGTTTTCAAGTCACAGTAATGAAGTGATAAATATTTGTTTGTTTCGTAAATTTACTTGCCACTGAAATGCCTCTGAGCGAGTGATCTCTCTACATATTGTTAATATTTTACATGACATGCATTCTGTATTGTGTTGCAGTATTGTGAGTACTTCAAGTGGACACGAGTCTACTGTCTGGCTGTACGCTAGAGTGAGACAACATTCTACCCTATATGGTATGGCTCTTAGATACAAACTGTGCAAGTGAGATTTTGTAAAGGGGTTTAGTGGTAACATTCTGATGAGAAAGCATTCCTTAATGGTGCCTGTGCCTTTGTTAGACTTTTCAGAATCTATGCTTATGCCTCCATTAGTCTTGCATTTATTTCTGCCTGTCTACAGTAATATATATATATATATATATATATATATATATATATATATATATATATATATATATATATATATATATATATATATATATATATATATATATATATATATATATATATATATATATATTTATATGTATTAGTGTTGAGAAGCACAAGCATAGCCCTATCTTATATACCCATGCATGGCACTAAGTCTTGACAATACAGCAGCCCCGACAAACAATATAAGACTCTACAATTTACTCTTAAGGTTAATGTTAAACACATCACCTCACCCATGTTGGGACACAAGAATAAGGTTAAGTGTTGTGAGCGAGCTCTGTGTATGACCAAGAAGAAGTGCGTCACACTCACTAGTTCAACATAATGGGACAAAGGTCCATAATTATCATGCACCAATCATGTATAATAGAAAATTAAATTCAGTTAATTAAATCAACATCAAAGTCGCCACAGAGGCAAAGACTGGAAACTGACACATAATATTATTAACTTCCTAAACTCTTGAACTATTTATTACAAGTACATAAGTAAAAATAATATATATATATATATATATATATATATATATATATATATATATATATATATATATATATATATATATATATATATATATATATATATATATATATATATATATATATATATATATATATATATATATATATATATATATATATATATATATATATATATATATATATATATATATATATATATATATAAATACTGTATATATGCACACACACACATACATATATAGGCCTAGTGGGGGTCAGGAGTCAGCTACACCAGAGATCATTTTTAACAACATTGCTTACGACACAAATGGTGTCTTGTGACTTACTGTACTGTAGTGTTGAATCATAATGAAGAAGGAGTGAGAGGGTACCAGGTAGTGGTGTCCATCTTACTCTACAGGATAGACAGCACTTCTCATTTATCTACTTCATTATATTTAATCAATAGCTGTATAATCTTTTATGATTTTTACAAAATAATGAATATTGGTCTGGTTTAGCTGTGCTCTGGTGATACTGCCCAGTGGGGAGGGGGATGACAGGGGGAGATGTGCCTAGACGGACCCTTGTGACTCTGTGCAGGATGACGAGTCGAGGCGGTAGTGGCGATCGGCTTCCGTCTCGCTCATCCGGATCTCCTCTGAGCCTGAAGGCGACATGTGGCGTGACGGATGATGCTCCAGCTGGCGTATCAAGTCTTCTAGGTTGCGGATCCTTATTGGGCCACACGGCGGCACCTGCTCTTCCTCTCCTCCAGAGTCGGCCAGCTTCTCGTGTGAGGCTTTCAGTCTTGTGAACTCTGCAGGGCCACCCAGAGCCGAAGCACCGGGTGGAAAGCGTGGGTAGGTGTCGTGATGAGCGGTGTGCAACTCGTCAGAGGACAGTGAGGTCGCTCCAGAGCGGTGAGATGCGGCTCGCTTCAGAGCGTCGATGATATCCTCGTGGTAGCCATTGAGACTCTTAAGTGTCCGCTCAACTTCGGAGACTTGGCACTCGGGATCGGCATTGTTATCACTCTGACTTAGGACATCGTTGTTGTCGCTCTGGGACTCCTCACCCCATTTCTCCTTCTCTGCTGGCGTGAGGAGGCCATATGACTTCTTCAGGATTCCCTTCTCGGGTATCTTGCTCAGGTTGTTAGATGGTAGCTCAATAAACGACACCGCCTCGTCCTCCCCTGGAAAGATGGAGACACGTCACCTCTATTCTCTAGCCCTTAGCCCGTATCCAACAAAATTACTGTAAGTGACGTCAACCCGCCCTTAAAGTGGCTTATACAAATAATACCCCTCTTTATTGGCTTAAATTTAATAAAGTAATACTATACTTTAAAACTTAACGAGTGCATTTAACAAATTACAGACAGAAGTTCATGACAAACTGTCTTTCCAATTAGAATAATAAAAATATTTGTTTAGCACATTAAAAATAAAGCCACAACATAATTTCCAGATCTAGTTTTCCCAGAATATTTTGTCTCTCACTGTTTTGGGGACGTGCCTCTCTTTCCAAGGGAAGGGTAGGGAAGGGTCATTCTCATTAGCAACCACACAATACATTCTCAGCCATATTCTTAGCCATCAATATATTAAGGACAAGTGTCAATTAGTAATAAAATTTCACAAATCAAGAACTTTGCTCAACAAGTAAGAAAATTTATTCCAGAAATTAAATAATCAAAAGCAGCTGATGACTAAGAAATGACGTGTAACATGAAGGCGACAATACTGTACTACATCAAGAGCAGAAACAATACAAGCGAAGCGTAGAATGGGGAGTGGTAGAGCCGAGGACAAACAATGAAGGATATACCATGGTGAATAAAGGTTGTACTGTAGACACAATACACTAGCCTGACCATTGGTGTGATACAAAACATCTAAATGGCAAAAAACATACATTGTCTAGGAAGAGGAAGAAAGTATATTTAATATGCGTGCACAACCGCATTCTGTCAATACATTATTTTCTCAAAACCATCTGATAGTTAGAGCACTGAAGAATTATGGAATCATTACCAATTTAATTTTACATTTTTTTTTTTAATATTTCAAAAGAAGAACATATTCATCCAAATTTGAGATCATACAGATAACTTCTTACTCTGTAAATTAATCAGAAAAAATATACAATGGAATGAAGTGGAAAATGAATGAGGAATCCATTATATAATATATTATCTTCAAAATATTTTTCCTGATGTGTTGTAAAATCAAATATTAAACTGGATGAATTCTTACAAATAGTCAACTATGTATCACCCAAACTGTTGCTAAAATTTTATTATATTTTTCTTTTTCACTAAACAATTATGAGACATCAATCTGATATCACCCACATCAAGAAATTTGATCTCAGTTACCATCATTAAAGCCTGTTAATAAATCATCATAAGAGAAGTTATTACTTTAAGGCTTTATTCCATCCCGAGCAGAATGATACGTTACTGTACCCTCCATGAGTGTGTTGAAGATGTTGTACGCTCAACACCTTCCAAACTCCTACAGTACTGTACAGGGGAACGACTACAACTCATGTACTGTACTACCTCAACCCTCCAAATTTATAAGCATAGAGTACCTTAGAAAAAATAGTTACACTTCAAAATCTCAATGAACGTTTCTTAGATACACAGACTAAGAATCTGTATCGCCTGTATACATGCTGAGCTATACAGGCATCCCTCGCTATACAAACATTTGAGATGTTATAATTTGCTTACACGAATTTCCTAAATTACCACCTCTTTTTTGAGTTACAAAAGCTTCCCCCGCTTATCCAAATTTGGGAACCCAGCAAAAATTCAAATTGCGTGCCCCCAGAGTCAGCTGGGGCAGCCACATCCCCCTAGCCCCTACCAGGTTGAGGTAGGAGTTATTTCATGGTTTTTTTCAACTCGTAATTTCGGTTAAATAAACATATCTTACTTCACATTTTTTATTCAGTTACATGAACACACAATCCTACATATGGAATGTGCAAAAAAAATTTAAATTATCATTAGGTTAAAAGCATAAAGGGAATAAACATTTCTTCGTAAGCCAGCGAGAATTGGCAGGATGAGCTGGGGGGAGGTATGTTATGCTTATTTTTCAACGATAGTAATGTTGGGTAGATAAATTAATTAACTTTCACCACTTTTTTTTTTTTTACTCAATTACAAGCACACACAATCCTACATACATAATGTGCAAAAACAGTAAATGAAGTAACTTTCATAAAGTCAAAAACATAAAGGGAATAAACAATTCCTTTGTGTATGAGAGCAAATGGGGGAGTACTGCTAAGGGTTGGGAGGGGGAACGTCCCCAGCTGAGCTGCGTTGCTATGGCGATGCTTGAGGCAGCCAGCATCTATGCAAACGACGGCGGTGTAGAACTTTGATTTAGCTTTTCCTTAATGGTTTTAGCTGCAAATTTTCATTTAGATAGTATTTTATGAATGTTCTTAATATGTTAGGTACAGTACTGTAGTTATACACTATTTATCATTAGTTGGGTAGGTTTTTTGTTGTTCAGAAATTGATTTCTTGTTTTTTGGGGTATTATATTGGGGTTTTATTCTCATTGGAGAACTGAGTCTTATTTTTCCCATATGTTCTTTTATTTACTATACGAAAATTCACTTAACGAATGGTTTTTCAGGAACCTAACCCATTTGTATAGTGAGGGATACCAGGACAGTATACCTTACATTGTCTATATACATGCTGAACTGTATACCAACATTGTCTATACTGTATATACATGCTGAACTGTATACCAACATTGTCTATACTGTATATACATGCTGAACTGTATACCTACATTGTCTATACTGTCTATACATACTGAACTATAAACCTACCTTATCTATACTGTATATACATATTGAACTATATACCTACAATGTCTATACTGTATATACATGCTGAACTGTATACCTACATTGTCTATACTGTATATACGTACTGAACTATAAACCTACCTTATCTATACTGTATATACATATTGAACTATATACCTACAATGTCTATAATGTATATGCATGCTGAACTGTATACAGCTCCTCCCCGACTTACGACGGGGTTAGGGACCCAAATCCAGGATGTAAGTCGAAATGGTCGTAAGTCGAAAATGCTTAAATAATACATAGAAAATCTAAAATGGGTGTCTCTTTTTCTTCTCAGCACCACAAAATTCTCACTTTTAAGCTTGCCAGCCATTTTAAAGTGAATTACAAACGAAAATTTTGTCAGTACACAGCGCATTCACTGACGTTGGGACTCAAAAATACGTAATTTGACAAAATTTTGGTACGACTGAGACGGTCATATGTCCGGGTGGTCGTAAGTTGAGTAGGTCGTAAGTCAGGGAGGAGCTGTACCTACATTGTCTATACTGTATATACATGCTGAACTGTATACCTACAAGTACATTGTCTATACTGTATATACATGCTGAACTGTATACCTACAAGTACAATGTCTATACTGTATATACATGCTGAACTGCATACCTGCAGTGTCTATATGCATACTGAAATGTATACTTATATATATATATATATATATATATATATATATATATATATATATATATATATATATATATATATATATATATATATATATATATATATATATATATATATATATATATATATATATGCTGAACTATGTATACTCACCACAAAAAGTTCTCAAACAGCTGGGAACGACAGATTTCAGAATGAGCACGTTGGCTCGTGTCATCTCAGAATGGTTGGTATGCCTGGTCACGAAGTGACTCTCAATATTTTGTAATAATATATAATATTTTGCTCGTCTTTACAGTAATTACAGGTGAAAAGCAGTAATTTTAATTTGCAAAAAAAAAAAAAAAAAATTCCTCGGAGAGCAATGTTCATATTTCTCATTCGTTTTATCAAATTGTATGACCCTTAGAGCGTTTGAGAATTTTTGTGGTAAATGTTCCTGCATTGTCCATATAGGGTACTGTACATGCAGAACTATATACAACACGTGTGTTGTCCACATACATGCTGAACTGCATACCTGCACTGTGTAATATATGATGAACTGTATACAGTACAATACAATACCTGCATTGTCTATGTACTGTCAGCCACAAAGGTCCTGTCACCTCTCCTCCTGAATCACCATCCCTGAGATTCAGACTCATGAATCCAAAGCATTTACGGACAGAATAATGTATCAGTCTACTGCTTCGGGTTCATGAGTCTGAATGTCAGGGTTCATGGTTCAAGGGGAGAGACGACAGGACTTTTGTGGGTGACTGTACATGCAAAACTGAATACTGTACTGTACCTGCTTTGTCTATATACTTGTTGAAATAAATATGTGCATTATCTATATATATGCTGAATTATATAGTTTGCTGAAATCTATACATGTACACACTGATCTGTATACTTGCATTGTCTATATATTTGCTGAACTATATACCCTGTACTTACATTGTCTATATAAATAAATGCACACTGTACACCTACTGTCAATATACATGCTGAGCTATATAATTACATTACCTATCGTATACATATTGAACTGAATAACTGCAGGCCATATACATGCTGAACTGTATATCTGCTTTGTCTATATACAAGTTGAACTGTATACAGTACATGCATTGTGTATATAAATGCTGAACTGTGTAACTGCAATGTTTATATACATGCTGAACGGTATACATGCATTATCGATAAATTTCTATATATACTGTACAGTACTTGTATGCTCTATATACATGCTGAGCTGTATAGCAGAATTGTCTATATACATGTTGAATCAATGTAAATTTTATGAAGATTTTACTTAATAGACATCTATCTATCTATCTATTTACAGAGAATCTTATCGGAAACCCGAAAATCTATACACAGTACAGTACAATACAGTGTACAGTGCAGTACAGTACAGTACAGTTCTGTACAGTACAGTTCTGTACAGTACAGTATCTGAAACGTTCGAGAATTATTACACAGATATAAGATTAATTGTGTGGAAGGTTCAGGATTAAAATAGGTCCCCAGAAGCAAGAGGGAAGTTATAAAGGTTGTGGATGCTCGCCCCACTAGAGGTCACAGCTTAAGGTCAGTCCAGAAAATTGTCACGACAAACATTTTTGGAGTGAGAGTTGTAAACTCTTGGACCAACCCACCAGAGAATGTTGTGAC